TGTTGAGGCTTATATGCAGTGGATAGGTGGATATCAAAGAATGAAACCACACTGTACTATTTGTAACGGCTTTATGAAACGTATTGTATTCGGTATACCGCGACAATATTTGAACTGATACATGTAAACCGTAAACACGGTGGCTCAGAGATTGAGTTCGCTCGTGTTTGCTCGTGTTTGCTCGTGTTTGCTCGCGTTCGCATGTTTTGCCATACATACACTTGTTTTAACACTTTACCGACCGGTAGCGGTTGATTAATCGGCTATCGGTCGGTAAACGTCGGCCGATAAAACAGTTGATTAATCGGCTATCGGTCGGTAAGCGTCGGCCGGTAAAACAGTCGGTTAATAGGCTATCGGTCGGTAAAGTGTTAACACAAATTTTTATCGATATTTACTATTTTCTGTATAATTATGTGACACACTGTATGATGTCTGACTTCTCCCACGCTGTCGTTGAGAAACAGAACTGTTTGGATTTAACGAAATATCTAGCAAATTGTTTGCGAAAGATCGTACTTTATAACATTCCTGTTTATATCGCGCGATAAAATTTCATTCCGTAATAAAATTTCAACGCACGTTTCCTGAGTCTTGAAAATCTTACATTTTACGAGACGTTCATTGGATCGAGAAACATAAATCTGGCTGATGGTGAACCATTAAACTGGCGAACAAAGGGTTGACAATACAATTTCTCCCATTTGCGCTGTAAAACTTGTATCTCTACTAAAAAATATATTGCTTAAACTCTTAAACGTACAGGAAATATAGAATATCACCGGATTTTATGAATTTTGGCCTCTACTATCGATCATTAAAATTTTTGCTAGAGGTGGCCGAACACCCTGTATAAATCTGATTTTCCATGCAGCTTAAAAAAAACTTCGATTCAAGGAGAATGACGTTCCATGAAATTCCAATCTACGAATACGTATCTACGCTGAAAAGGTTCCCGATTGAAGGTGATTTATAAACTTGCATGAGATGCAAATTGAAATACGAGTCCCGCATCGTGTGCTATAGAAAAATTTAATCGACCAAGATTACGTCGAACTCGTATCGAGTTCCCCGCAATTGCTAAATCAACTTTTCATTTGCAGAAAAACAATCAACATTTTTCACTACAAATTGCAATTACATCTATTTTTGAATTAAAAAAAAATAAAATATATTTCTTCTCACGAATATTAATCAATTAAAATTTTTTAATTTATCAATTCTAGAAAAACAATCAACATTTTTCAGTACAAATTGCAATTACATCTATTTTTGAATTAAAAAAAAATAAAATATATTTCTTCTCACGAATATTAATCAATTAAAATTTTTTAATTTATCAATTCTAGAAAAAGAATCAACATTTTTCAGTACAAATTGCTGTTACATCTATTTTTGAATTAAAAAAAAATAAAATATATTTCTTCTCACGAATATTAATCAATTAAAATTTTTTAATTTATCAATTCTAGAAAAACAATCAACATTTTTTAGTACAAATTGCTGTTACATCTATTTTTGAATAAAAAAAAATAAAATATATTTCTTCTCACGAATATTAATCAATTAAAATTTTTTAATTTATCAATTCTAGAAAAACAATCAACATTTTTTAGTACAAATTGCTGTTACATCTATTTTTGAATAAAAAAGAAATAAAATATATTTCTTCTCACGAATATTGATCAATTAAAATTTTTTAATTTATCAAAGAGTTTAATTTTTATAATAGACGACATTTATTATACATTACTTGCTTATATAAATCATGAGAGTTATTTTCATTTGTTCAATTTGCTTTAAAATTACATTAAATGCAACGAAGTGGATTGCTTTAAAGTAATAAGAGTTCGTGAGAATAATTATGGTTAATTCGAAGCAGTAATCATGTTATATTCGTGTTTAAAGCCGTTCGAAACGGTAACACTTAGATTGATTAGTTTTATAGTAATCTAAGCATAAAATCGTTGCACTCAAAGTTGATTATAGATGGTCCTAGATTTTCATTTCCTTGATGGTGCGAAGTAACGCCTTTAAAACGTAGAATGATCACACTTTGCATCCTTAAATACAAGTTGGAGAATCGAGGAGATAATGAGGAAGATTAGTATCTTCATTAGTGGCCACGCCTCCTATATCGACTATTCATTTCTATTTTTTCCTACGAGGAATTGAAAACAGTTACAAAAAGAAAAAATATTCTATTTTATTATTCGATTTATTCTGAAATGAATTAATAATTCAAATTGAACATAAAATGATATTTCACAAGAAACAGATTCTTCAAGCTGTCATAATTAACGTCAGAACATATTCAAATTACTAGAAAAAAATAGAGGAAAACAGTTACCAAACAAAAAGAAAAAAATATTCTATTTCGTCATTCGATTTATTCTGAAATGAATTAATAATTCCAATTGAACATTAAATGATATTTCACAAGAAACAGATTCTTCAAGCTGTCATAATTAACGTCAGAACATATTCAAATTACTAGAAAAAAATAGAGGAAAACAGTTACCAAACAAAAAGAAAAAAATATTCTATTTCGTCATTCGATTTATTCTGAAATGAATTAATAATTTCAATTGAATATAAAATGATATTTCACAAGAAACAGATTCTTCAAGCTGTCATAATTAACGTCAGAACATATTCAAATTACTAGAAAAAAATTGAGTAAAACAGTTACCAAACAAAAAGAAAAAAATATTCTATTTCGTCATTCGATTTATTCTGAAATGAATTAATAATTTCAATTGAACGTAAAATGATATTTCACAAGAAACAGATTCATTAAGCTGTCATAATTAACGTCAGAACATATTCAAATTACTAGAAAAAAATTGAGTAAAGCAGTTACCAAACAAAAGAGAAAAATATTCTATTTCGTCATTCGATTTATTCTGAAATGAATTAATAATTTCAATTGAACGTAAAATGATATTTCACAAGAAACAGATTCTTGAAGCTGTCATAATTAACGTCAGAACATATTCAAATTACTAGAAAAAAAGAGAATAACAAAATGGAGTGGGATATGAATATGTATTAAAAGAGTTCAGAAATGTCGTGATCGATAAAGGGGACAGTTTTATGGAATAAACTCACGCTATACTTAATATTAAATATTAAAGTAATTTGATAATTGAAATGGCTGAAATTCGTGATAATTTAACGATCGTAAATCATTTGTTGTAACTTACATATTTCTAGATATTCACGATGTAATATTTATTCAAATTGTGTACATTTCTTTTGATTTATGATAGTTTAAAGTCGTCTAAAATCTGTTATTATTAAAGCACACGTTAGTACGAAGATCAATGTTAGTTCCACGCATAATATTTTCATTTCTATCAATGGTCTCGACGTAGAACCATAACTTCTGGTTAGTGATGCAATTCAATGACACAGCATTGTATTTCAAGCACAATTGATCGAACTGCAGGCCTAATTTGTAATCCACAGACATATTCCGCAAATCGATAGCTCTTTCAGCGTCCTTCCTCTGCACGAACCTGTTGTTTCAACGTTTGTCGTTTGATCAATCAATTAGAGTGATTATCGTGTCGCTCGTCCCCCCAAGAAGTAGTTTGAATTATGCTTGCGTATAATTAACAACGCTTATTGGTTCGGAAATATTCTCATCAATTATAATCCCGATCGACTATTTTTCTAATTTACTATAGCGATGACTAGACTGCGGATTTTCATGCAAATTCACATTTTTGTTAATAAAATTATTGAAATATAATAATTCGTATCTTACTTTAAGTATTTCATATTATTTTTGCATATTAACACATTACCGACCGATAGCCTATTAATCGACTGTTTTACCGACCAACGCTTACCGACCGATAGCGTATTAATCAACTTTTTTACCGACCAACGCTTACCGACCGATAAAACAGTTGATTAATAGGCTATCGGTCGGTAAGCGTTAGCCGGTAAAACAGTCGATTAATAGGCTATCGGTCGGTAAAGTGTTAAATGCATTCTGTAGTTTCTTGATGATTAAAATTTCCCATAAATGCATAAACATCCGCAGTCTAGCGCTGACAATCGAAGTTTAAACACTCGTAAATATTTACAACTTATTATAACTCGCTTCTGTGCCTTTTATAGGTTTTGATAAACCTAATTTTTGCTTCACGTTTCCTTCGTACTCGAGTACACTTTTCGTTCGAAAGGAATGTAATGCATTGGCAAAGTACCCTAATGCATCGTCTAAATTAAATTTAATAGAATGCTCTGCTTTTGACGTAAATATTTTTAAAATCTGAATCATGAAACTCTTGAAATTATTATTATAAATTAGTATATTGAATTACCATTAAATTGTTAAAATGGAATATTGTTACAAATAATTATTATGTGTCCTCGATCAAATTTTCGATACACAATGCTTCAAATTTATATTGAAAAAAGATCAAGCACTGCATTATTATTATAAATTAGTATATTGAATTACCATTGTTAACATAAAATATTGTTGCAAATAATTATTATGTGTCTTCGATCCAATTTTCGATACACAGTGCCTCAAGTTTATATTGAAAATAGATTAAGCATTATTATTATAAATTAGTATATTGAATTACCATTGTTAACATAAAATATTGTTGCAAATAATTATTATGTGTCTTCGATCCAATTTTCGATACACAGTGCCTCAAGTTTATATTGAAAAAAGATTAAGCATTATTATTATGCATTATTATTATAAATTAGTATATTGAATTACCACTGTTAATATAAAATATTGTTACAAATAATTATTATGTGTTTTCGATCCAATTTTCGATGCACAATGCCTCAAGTTTATATTGAAAAAAATTTTAATGTGTTTCTCGAGCATGAAATTTAAATTAATTATTATAAACAATCAAACAAGCATTCAAATTGAAAATTCAAGTATTAAAAAGTGTTCCCATTGCTTTAGTTTTTGCATATTTGTGGATTGCAGTTGAAATTTGCTTTTTTTATGGTTGCAGTTGCATCTCCGCCGGATCGAAGAGTCACGAGAGACGATATTGCAGTGTCCTCGCCCGGTGCATCACCGAACGTTAATGCACCAACGAGCTGCACTGGTACAACATCGTCTCTGCCCCACAATCCCTCCTCGCCCGGTCGGAATGGCCAGTTACCGAGTAAGTGATACGATTACTATAATTAGACTGCGTATATTTATGCATTTATGGGAAATTTTAATCCTCAAAAAACTACAGAATGCATTCGATATGCAAACATATAAGAAATACTTAAAGCAAGATACGAATTATTATTGTATTTCTTCTTTTAGTCACCCTGACGAATTTATTTAATATTTTCTGATTGTTTTTTTCCCAAAATGAAGGTTATTTAGGGGTTGTATATTTAGGGGTTGAGACAGGCCTTTACAAAGCTCCAATTTCATTAATTTTCGTTAATAAAAATGTGAATTTGCATAAAGATCCGCAGTCTAATTACAAGCTTTCAATTTTTATATACCTCGTGGTAAATTAATTTATAATAGTAAATGTTTATCTCCGTTTCTTGGCCTTGAGATTGAAATTAATTAAAAGCTTAATATTTCACTAAATTACAATTAAAATATCATACTTTTCGATTCTTTAATATAGAAAGTTCCAAATTAGACAAAGGACCCCTCACAGATCTTATGGAAAATGGCCCCCCGGGTTAAATTAGCTGAACTTTTGATGTGATATAGTTCATTATGTCTTGATAAAAAGTTCCAATGGCCCTAAAGCTCGTAAATTGAACAGTTTCCAAGATACGAGGGATCAAAAGTCAATAATAGTGCCATTTATTCTAGACTACCAAGTTTGACCATATTTGAGTGTAAAAAGTGACCTTGTTGGGCCCTTAAATATTACCCTTTGACCCTATAACCTTTTTACTCCCCTTTAGGAGTCATAAAAAAACGCCAAAAATGGTAAAAATGGTAAAAAGGGCCATTTTTATAGTCCTCTCTACATTCATATTGTCTTGATGCCCTCTATCAACGCAAATTGACATTTCGTTGGTAGATAACAGCCTTAATTAACTAATTTTCCTTTCTAAAATTATAAGGGTAGCTTCGTAATATTAAGAAATACAATTAATGGCCCCTAAAGCATTATGCTTTTGATAAAACCAAGGAAATCGATTTCTATAAACAGAAAATTAATAACTATCATTTAAAAAAAGTTCAACTGCACTTTACAACTTCACAGTAGAGGTCATTAAACCATATAAAATTTCCTGTATCTGTAAATGTAAATTGTCTTTACTGTTTTTGCTTAAAATGACCCAGTTACCCAAACATTATACCTTTTTAAGGATATTTGATATTACAATGAATAAAAATGTATTGTGTTACCCCCGACCAGGTCCAAAATTTGTCCAGGAGAGAATATTATTTTATTTCATTTGCCTCAGAAATAAAAAATGGTTACTCTATACCTTCGGTGTAAACATTCGGTGTTTGTTGTTTGTTTTGCGTATGGAAACAAAATAACCGAAGCTAAATAAATGTTCCGGGGTTGTTTGTGTTCCAGAACAAGGCACGCTAACGATAGTACGACGAAGTTCTGGCAAAAATAAAAGTATCGGCGGAAGTTTCGAAAGTTCCCCGCCGCCGCACAGCCCCGACACTCTTTCATCGAGCCAGTCCGTGGATCTCGACGAGATCCTCGATAATGTCGATTTGACGACAGACTCGCTTCCTGCCGTTGACACCCCCGATGCCTGCGACAAAGCTGCCCTCAGGTAAGGGGTCTCGTTAAAACCTTCGTAAACTAACTTGTATTAATGCTTCGAACCTTCGAGCGCTTAAACTTTTTCAATTCACGACCCTCATTCACTACACAAAATTATTAATGGCCATCAGACTCGTAAAAAGGCTACAGATAATGATAAATTCAAGCATTCGCGAACAAAGTAATATTGCAATGATAATGACTATATGTGTTGCATTGTATAAAATATTCGAATACTTCAAGATATTCAAAAATATAGCTTCAATCGTTATCATTGCCAGTATGTTCATTATTAACACGTTGACTGTCCACAGATGACACGAATTCAACCATTCGCGAACAAAGCAATACACAATGATAATGACTATATGTGTTGCATTGTATAAAATATACGAATACTTCAAGATAGTCAAAAATATAGCTTCAATCGTTATCATTGCCAGTATGTTCATTATTAACACGTTGACTGTCCACAGATGACACGAATTCAACCATTCGCGAACAAAGCAATATACAATAATAATGACTATACAAATATATGTGTTGCATTGTATAAAATATTTGAATTCTTCAGGATAATCAAAAACATAGGTTCAATCGTTAGATCATTATTGCCAGTATGTTCATTATTAACACGTTGACTGTCCACAGATGACATGAATTCAACCATTCGCGAACAAAGCAATACACAATGATAATGACTATATGTGTTGCATTGTATAAAATATACGAATACTTCAAGATAGTCAAAAATATAGCTTCAATCGTTATCATTGCCAGTATGTTCATTATTAACACGTTGACTGTCCACAGATGACACGAATTCAACCATTCGCGAACAAAGCAATATACAATAATAATGACTATACAAATATATGTGTTGCATTGTATAAAATATTTGAATTCTTCAGGATAATCAAAAACATAGGTTCAATCGTTAGATCATTATTGAAAGTATGTTCATTACTAACACGTTGACTGTCCACAGATGACATGAATTCAACCATTCGCGAACAAAGCAATACACAATGATAATGACTATATGTGTTGCATTGTATAAAATATTCGAATACTTCAAGATAGTCAAAAATATAGCTTCAATCGTTATCATTGCCAGTATGTTCATTATTAACACGTTGACTGTCCACAGATGACACGAATTCAACCATTCGCGAACAAAGCAATATACAATAATAATGACTATACAAATATATGTGTTGCATTGTATAAAATATTTGAATTCTTCAGGATAATCAAAAACATAGGTTCAATCGTTAGATCATTATTGCCAGTATGTTCATTATTAACACGTTGACTGTCCACAGATGACACGAATTCAACCATTCGCGAACAAAGCAATACACAATGATAATGACTATATGTGTTGCATTGTATAAAATATACGAATACTTCAAGATAGTCAAAAATATAGCTTCAATCGTTATCATTGCCAGTATGTTCATTATTAACACGTTGACTGTCCACAGATGACACGAATTCAACCATTCGCGAACAAAGCAATATACAATAATAATGACTATACAAATATATGTGTTGCATTGTATAAAATATTTGAATTCTTCAGGATAATCAAAAACATAGGTTCAATCGTTAGATCATTATTGAAAGTATGTTCATTACTAACACGTTGACTGTCCACAGATGACATGAATTCAACCATTCGCGAACAAAGCAATACACAATGATAATGACTATATGTGTTGCATTGTATAAAATATACGAATACTTCAAGATAGTCAAAAATATAGCTTCAATCGTTATCATTGCCAGTATGTTCATTATTAACACGTTGACTGTCCACAGATGACACGAATTCAACCATTCGCGAACAAAGCAATATACAATAATAATGACTATACAAATATATGTGTTGCATTGTATAAAATATTTGAATTCTTCAGGATAATCAAAAACATAGGTTCAATCGTTAGATCATTATTGAAAGTATGTTCATTACTAACACGTTGACTGTCCACAGATGACATGAATTCAACCATTCGCGAACAAAGCAATACACAATGATAATGACTATATGTGTTGCATTGTATAAAATATTCGAATACTTCAAGATAGTCAAAAATATAGCTTCAATCGTTATCATTGCCAATATGTTCATTATTAACACGTTGACTGTCCACAGATGACACGAATTCAACCATTCGCGAACAAAGCAATATACAATAATAATGACTATACAAATATATGTGTTGCATTGTATAAAATATTTGAATTCTTCAGGATAATCAAAAACATAGGTTCAATCGTTAGATCATTATTGCCAGTATGTTCATTGTTAACACGTTGACTGTCCACAGATGACACGAATTCAACCATTCGCGAACAAAGCAATACACAATGATAATGACTATATGTGTTGCATTGTATAAAATATTCGAATACTTCAAGATAGTCAAAAATATAGCTTCAATCGTTATCATTGCCAGTATGTTCATTATTAACACGTTGACTGTCCACAGATGACACGAATTCAACCATTCGCGAACAAAGCAATATACAATAATAATGACTATACAAATATATGTGTTGCATTGTATAAAATATTTGAATTCTTCAGGATAATCAAAAACATAGGTTCAATCGTTAGATCATTATTGCCAGTATTTTCATTATTAACACGTTGACTGTCTAAAATCCTAAAATTGGAGACCAAAACTCTGATTTTAGGCAATTGTAAACTGCACAACTTAAAAATTGTCATAACAGTTACTTTTCTAACCCCATTAAAATTTAGAAAGCCTATTAAAATTGATTTTCTTTAACATTTCGACTTGAGAATCAATTGTCTAAAATCCTAAAATTGTTTTCGAGACCAAAATTTTGATTTTAGGCAATTGTAAACTGCACAACTTAAAAATTGTCATAACAGTTACTTTTCTAAGCTCATTAAAATTTAGAAAGCCTATTAAAATTGATTTTTTTTAACATTTCGACTTGAGAATCAATTGTCTAAAATCCTAAAATTGTTTTCGAGACCAAAGCTCTGATTTTAGGCAATTGTAAACTACACAACTTAAAAATTGTCATAACAGTTACTTTTCTAAGCTCATTAAAATTTAGAAAGCCTATTAAAATTGATTTTTTTTAACATTTCGACTTGAGAATCAATTGTCTAAAATCCTAAAATTGTTTAGGAGACCAAAACTTTGATTTTAGGCAATTGTAAACTGCACAACTTAAAAATTGTCATAACAGTTACTTTTCTAACCTCATTAAAATTTAGAAAGCCTATTAAAATTGATTTTTTTTAACATTTCGACTTGAGAATTCATTATTACAGTTAAAGTGTTAAAATCTAGTTTTATTGGACATTATTTTGTCTTCATTTATTTGTTCATGAATGACAATTAAACAAAATGAAAAAAACTATTACTAACTAATTATATAAATATTTAAAAATAATATGATAAGATTATTATAATACAAAATATTGTGCCTGATAAAAGGAATAAATTGTAAATTTATTAATGAAGAATTAACTCTTTCAGTGTTAATAAAATTTATTTTTATAAGTTAACAAAACTATTAAATTGCAAATCTAATCGTCAGTCAACTTCAATTTCATTTTTTATTATTCTATTAACTAATTATATAAATATCTTAAAATAATATAATAAAATTTTTATAATACAAAATATTGTGTCTGATAAAAGGAATAAATTGTAAATTTAAGAAATAACTCTTTCAGTGTTAATAAAATTTATTTTTATAAGTTAAAAAAAACTATTCAATTGCAAATCAAATCGTCAGTCAACTTCAATTTCGTTTTTTATTATTCTATTAACTAATTATATAAATATCTTAAAATAATATAATAAAATTTTTATAATACAAAATATTGTGTCTGATAAAAGGAATAAATTGTAAATTTAAGAAATAACTCTTTCAGTGTTAATAAAATTTATTTTTATAAGTTAACAAAACTATTAAATTGCAAATCAAATCGTCAGTCAACTTCAATTTCGTTTTTTATTATTCTATTAACTAATTATATAAATATCTTAAAATAATATAATAAGATTATTATAATATAAAATATTGTGCCTGATTAAAGGAATAAATTGTAAATTTAAGAAATAACTCTTTCAGTGTTAATAAAATTTATTTTTATAAGTTAACAAAACTATTAAATTGCAAATCAAATCAGTCAACTTCGATTTCATTTTTTATTATTCTTTTCACACTCATTTACGTTTACAAAAATTTCAAACACTCTGTAATTTTATATTTCGTTTTAATTTTTTTTTAAAAGAAGCAAAGCTACAGAAAATAACAATTATTGTTGCAGACTGAGATGTCTATTGAGGCAGCTTCAACATGGCGAAATATCGGCAGAATTGCTCCAACGAAACTTATACTATGCAGCACGCGTCCTCGAAGCAGTCTTCCTCGACGAGACCAAGTAAGTTCTTACTCGAAACGACAATTAACACTGATTTCTTTCGTTTTAAATAATATCGTGTGAGTTGTTTTATTATAGCCACGCGCAGAGAGCTGATTTACTGCTTTATTACCAGACACCCCCACGAGTAGATCTATAAATATTGTAAAAATTTTTAACCTCAATGTTTTAGGTTTTATAGACAAATTCTGAAACCTCTTTAACCTCTTTAAGCGTGATGTTACTTTCTCTTGAAAAAATTTCTCATAAAAGGATGTATTATTAATTGATATTGTTGTTATTATTATTGTTCGCTAAGTAAGTAACGAATTCTATTAATAATTGTGTCGCACAGGGCTCACGACTCTTGGAAACACAGAAAACTATCAAGAAACGTAAATTTCCGTTGTATCGAACTTTTCGAGATAGTTTGTTATTTTTTTTAATGCATCTATCGCGTCGAAATATAAAATTGAGTGTTTACACGAATTATTTCGAAGGGAGTATGAAATTTTACCATGACCTTAATTTCGGAGAATAAGGTCCCAAGAGCGCCTCTTTAGCTCAGTGGTAGAGCACTGGTCTCGTAAACCAGGGGTCGTGAGTTCAATCCTCACAGGAGGCAATTTAATTTTTTTTCCTTTTTTTCTCTTCGAACGCCCTCAAATACCTCAAACAACATTCACTGTCAACGATTTTATGCGTTTCAGCAATTATTTTAACTATTATTTCAAATACCATTGCACGAATACATGTTCTATGCTGTACGATTTCCGGGTCACTTACAATGCTCTAAATTATTAACAATCGTTTCTTTTGCGATCTAAAATAATAGAATTATAGAACAGGAAAATAATAATACTAAAAAAAAATCACGGTTCCATGATGAGACAGAGAATGAACTGATATAATCTGAATTTGATAGTGTCAATAAAAAATTTATTCGAGATTAATTTTTAACGAATTATTTACAAAGATATTTCTCGTCCACGACGTCGAATTATAAATTAACTCATTTATAGTGATTTTATTGTATTTTTAGAAATGAGATACCTTTGGTTTGATATTGAAGGTGTAATATGGGTTTGTTTATTTTTTAACAGTAGTTTCCCAGCATCTTTTTAGCGGGCAGGACGTCGGTTCGAGTTTGAATAGAACGCAGAACGATTACTCGACTTGTTTAATGCCTAGTTTAAGAACTGCTTGCAGAACCGATTTGCAAAGGCTTGGAATAGTTATTTGCCAGATACAGGGACAGGGACGCAGCGAGTTGCACGTTATGCTAATGATAATGATATGGAAAACTGTAATATTCTACTGTTCTGTTCTCTACTTGACACGTGCACTAACAAGCAGTACCGCAGGGTGAATTCAGGCGGGGCTGAGTGCTCTCGGTCATCGCGTAGGGGTGCGGGCCTATCATCTGCATCCTTCGGAAGCGCCTTGGACTCGGATGGACCACAGGGCCACGCGGTGGTAACCCAGAAACGGAAGCTTCGCACCCCCGTATGGGCAAGGTTGCGAAATATTCACATTTCCGACCTCACGCGACTGTTCACCCGAAAAACCCCCCAAACACCCACCGATCCACCCATGTTCGTCCCGTATCGACATCTTCTCTCGATCATTGTCACCGTCAGGCTCACGATCATGCGTCGTTTGCTCGATCATTACCAGGGAATCGAACCTTCCCTCGTGAACCCTCCACCGGAGGGTTTCGGAGAGGTTCGACGGGTTTTGCGGTGAAATATAAATGGACATGGCGGGGGAGAGCGAAAGGGAAACTTTGACGATGCAAATGGCGTCGATAAACTGTAGATCGCGGTCAAAATCGTGCATCGTATGAAAATATGTTTCGTACAAACGATCAGGGATGGTTTAGAAGACAAATGTAACATATATATGTAGATTATAAATGTGTAGTTTATGGTTGTGTAGTATCGAAAGAAACGAATCGTTCTAAATACTTAGCAAAAGAAGATTGTGTTGTTTTAGCTTGCTAATAAACGTGAAAAATACTAAAAAATGAAACAAACAACGTCAGAGGAGCGACAAATTAAATTTTGATTTATTTTTATTAATTTTTTTTGATTTTGAGCTATTGACTGTTTAATCCTTATATTAATATGATAAACTTTGCCTTTTATCTAAACTGAATTCATCTTTAAACTATTTATTTAGCAAGCATACGAATGTTTATAATTTTTATTGTATCGTGTGGAGTATTATAATGTATCGAAACGTTTGTACAGCAAAATAGTCCCTTTCTTGAGATTTAAATTGCATTAATAAAAAAAAAAACACTTTTTGTTTGGGTAAATTGAGGCTATGACAATTTTTTACGTAAACTGAGTTCATTTTTAAACTGTTTAGCAAGCATACGATTGTTTATAGTTTTTATTGTATCGTGTGAAGTATTATAATGTATCGAAACGTTTGTACAGCAAAATAGTCCCTTTCTTGAGATTTAAATTGCATTAATAAAAAAAAAAACACTTTTTGTTTGGGTGAATTGAGGTTATGACAATGAGTTTGCCTCTGTGCTTTCCTTTTAAGTGTATTTTAGCTTTTTTACAATCCACCAAGTGGAGGTGTATGAGATTTGAGCGATAAATAACAATTTTTCACGAAATTTTTACGTAATTTTGGAGTTTATTTGTAATATGGGAGTGAATTCACCGCCATTTTGAAAGTTATTGATGTATCCATGATGGTATGTCTTTCTAATGGATTTTTGAGGTTATTGGTTCACGAATGGAGTAGTATTTCACTTGGAACAAAGTTTTTTTATCATTTTTCAATATTCCATTGGCGTACCCTGATATTCAGTAAACAAATATATAAATAATCTTGAAATTTTCGTACTGAAAGCTCTATAAATGTGTTTTTATTCTGTAAACTAAGTTAGTACAGAATTATCTAACAAATGAGTTTTGCAATATTTTAACAAAAACCACATTTTCCAATAAAAATTCGAAATAGGTATTTGGGTACCCCAATTATTGATAAAAGAGTTAATATATCATAAAATTTTACAAAGAAACAAATAGGATAAAGAATTAGTCAGGAACAGTTCCAAACAAGATGGCTACTTGGACAAATTGTTTAAAATTTTTTAAATTCGAAACTATTTACTTGTAAATTTAAGAAAATTTGTTAATTTAAAAACAGTACAAAGAGATTTGTGAAAGTATAGTTATCATAATAATAAAATAAGAATAAAAGAAAATATTTGGTTAAAAAATTCAATTTTTGAAAGGAAGTAATTTTTACGAATAATTATATTAACTATAATCAAATTATAATAACTTTATAACGAGTTTTTCTATTTTTTCTATTTAGAAGGCTCATTTCTTTCAATATTACTAAACATTAAATAGAAATTCATTTACCAATATATATTTGTCAAATTTGTTTTTTTAAATCATTCCTAATCATTTTTGATAGATAAAACATTATTTTCTACTTTTTAGCAGATTAATTTGCAAGCAATTTTCGTAACATTGCACAGAGAAACAAATTTTTCAATTTTTGGTATTCTGAGCAGAAACATAATTATAAAAAACAATAATTTATAAAACATAGAAAATAATATAAATTTCGTTATTGTTATAATTAATTTACCATTTTAAAAGAGGTAACTCTTTAACTAAAATAAATGGCGTTCATTAATCGTCAGATTTAACACAAATACTCCATTTTTAAGCTTCCATTTTATCAACCATTCTTTAAGAATCTTCTTCGTTGTTATTCCAAAATAAAATTGGTAAAATAAAAACTTAAATATAATTTTTATATCACAAACGTAATTACCAGATTTAGAAAACAGTTTTTCAAAGAATTTCAATCCCTCTTAATTAAAAAAATACACCTGATCACGTTTTGGGAATGTTGCTCCCATTCGACTAAAATTAATTACTTAAAAGCGTAAAATTAACAATCAGAATGACAATTTCGCTCTCTCGGCGTCGATGTGAACTTAGGCTATAATTCGTCTGAACGCTACATTACGTTTTCTTCTTGTCAATACCGTAGTTCAACCCTAAACCAAAAATGTAGCCGTAGATCATGTGCACAGGAGTTAATGTCTCGTAGTACACAGTGTATCGATCGTTAGTGAACTCTATAGTACGAGTACCTATCGTCTTCCTTTCTCTCTACATGCACACGATTAGAGTGCACGATCGCTATTAACAAATTTAGGACTACATACGAAACATTGCATACCAATAACCAGAATCCTAATGGTCGAGTAAGAATTGAGGACAAGTAAGAATTGAGGAGAATTAATCGTCAATTAGGTTAACAACAGAGTCCTCTATCTGGTATAAAACAGTACATACAAAATCCAACGCAGCATCCCTCGCGAGTAGACGAAAGCTTTTAGAAATCGAACAAACGTATGAAAAGCGACAAATTGCGGGACAATCGATACAAACGACAACCGTTATTGCTAGCCAAATACATTCAGACACAGCATGATGACTATCTTGACTATCTCAACCTGCCTGGCCTGTCTCTACCCCCTTTCTAGTCTCTTTTTAGATCTTTCTAGGTGTAACCTGCTCTCTTCCTGGATGTTTACGAGTTTAAAAGCTGAAACTTCCCCCTTCTATGTGTGTTTCCTGCCTCCGTTTCTGAACAAAGTGCATGCGTATAGGGTAAACGTGTCTCGAGACGGGCTGTTACATTGGAATGCTCCGAACATCCCTCTGTACGGCCTCGATAGCCACTCACGACACCGCAAGAGAACTCTGAGCGAAACGGTGACTCGAATAACGCGAAAGCTCTCCCTCTTGCATCAGTTTTCTGTGTTTTCGTTTCTTTTTGGCGTATTCGAGTCACCTGTGGACTTCGAACACGCGGACGGACGTTTCTTGCTTTAGACACCATGGATGTGACCTATCCTTAATGTGACCACACCTTTCTCTTGATGTTTGGGATTATAGAGATGCGGAGCGTGTGGAGTCAGCCGCTACTTGTCGTCAGGGTGTACGCCGTAGGTTCGTTCAACTGTTTGAATAACAATGACCAAATTTCATTCATCTTCACGTCCACGTTCACGTTCACTCTTCGTAAATCGCGATGGCACACTGCATTTCACGTTTTTTGTTTCGTCTCGATGAACTTCGAGACGCGTTTCGATGTTTTCAAACGAGGGATTCGCATCGATGGGCAACGCGAGATTGTTTATCCAACCGAGAAACATTCGATTTTTCAACGATGATAAACCAGTTTGGTTTATTGGAGTATTTTCGATGATATTAGATTGTTGGATACATATATATATATATATAACGGTTTAATAATAATGAACAATACAGAAGCGATACATGTTGGTGCACGCAACAATCTCGGTGGAAAGCGACGCAACGCTCCTCTGCGCATACTCACTCGCGCACACTCCTCTGCGCATACTCACAGGCGCACACGCCTCTGCGCATACTCACAGCATACTGCGCACGCTACGGGATGCGTGACAAACTTCCATCAATACCTAACATCGAATTGAAATTGTTTACAATTGATGGCTATATACACTCGATTTTTATATTACATCTTTTCTATATAGTCAGCGATTATGCTTTCTCAAGAACTGAATTCCTCTTTCTTTGCTCCTCCAGATCAAATTACAAGTGATTTATTGATATATTGTTACTATAGCACACCATGTTAACATAGCTTTTAAACATTTACGAATCAACATATTATTGCCATTATTTATCGACACCGGTGATTACTATACTGCTGATTTTATACACTTTGGCCCATGCCAGTGATACGCAACCGTGCACCTCATCGAGCCAAATTGAACAAAACATCTTCTGCGGGACAAATTTCAACCAAAAACGAAAATAAACACCGAGAAATTTGCATTAGAAATATTCGAAAAAATATCTACATATAATTTTAATGAAAGTGTAACAAGATGTATAAGATTATCCAAATTTGTATTATTCTTTAACTTTATTATCGAGAATATTAAATATACTAGTGGATAATATTATAATAAATAAATTATTAGAAAAATTCGATTTTTCAACGATGATCGAGCAACCAGTTTGGTTTATTGGAGTATTTTCGATGATATTAGATTGTTGGATACATATATATATATATAACGGTTTAATAATAATGAACAATACAGAAGCGATACATGTTGGTGCACGCAACAATCTCGGTGGAAAGCGACGCAACGCTCCTCTGCGCATACTCACTCGCGCACACTCCTCTGCGCATACTCACAGGCGCACGCTCCTCTGCGCATACTCACAGGCGCACGCTACGGGATGTGTGACAAACTTCCATCAATTTTATTTTATTATTTTATTTTCAAAATTCAATTTGTGTTATCATAATGAAGTGCAAAGGGTTGAGTAATTGAAATAATTATCTTACAATTATTTTCCAATAAAATCCTATTTTTTTAATAAACATACTAAAGTATAATATCGAATTGAAATTATTTACGATTGATGACTATATACACTCGATTCTTATGTTTCATCTTTTCTGTATAGTCAGTGATTATGCTTTCTCAAGAACTGAATTCCTCTTTTTTTGCTCATCCAGATCAAATTACAAGCGATTTATTGATATATTGTTACTATTGACATATTAACATAGCTTTTAAACATTTACGAATCAACATATTATGCTTTAGTATACTTATTAGAAAAATAGAATTTTATTGGAAAATAATTGTAGGATAAGTATTTAAAATACTCTATATATTATACTTTAGTATGTTTATTAGAAAAATAGGATTTTATTGGAAAATAATTGTAAAATAAGTATTTAGAATACTCAACCCTTTGCACTTCACTGTTTATGATAACACAAATTAAATTTTGAAAATAAAATTTGAATTATAGGTATTTATACAGTTTTGTGGGGAAAACAATAATTTTTTATTTTTATTTTCGTCACATTGCAAAATTGCATTGCTATTGTTTGTTTGTCATATTAATAAAGATTCTCGAAGTGCACAAAGTTAATATATATGTAAAACAATATAGTATTTTGATATATTTATCTTCATTTTTATTTAGCCTTGAAGTCATTTCTTTTAAGTTTGTTTCTGAGTTGCATCTATAAACTATAGAAAATTTATATACAACAGTAGAGTTTTTCAATTTAATTGCCAAGAAATTATGTCATATTTTGTTCCCATTTGATCAAAATTGATTTAGTAAGTTTGATCTTGATTTTTTGATCCTGATTTTTCAGTAAAAATTTTTAAAATTTGGTTTAGTTACGTCAAAGGTGATAAAATGGCTCTTAAGACGAAATTGCCTAAAAGTTTTACAATTATAGACATAGTTGCAATTTTACAGTATTTATATGGATAATTTATATCAAATATTTTGTTAGAGATTTAAATTTCGCCACAATGATCTTCAATTTTGCTGAATGCATTTTCTAAAACTCTTCAATAGTGTGAAATTATTTTCTCTGCTATATACAAATCTTATTATTTGTGTTTAATAATTTTCTGTTTAATAACTTTAATTTTAAACTGTACGTAAACTCGTATAATAATAAATCTTGAATAAATAGATTTATTATTAAATACCAAATATCAGTAAAATCTCATGATTTAAAATGGTTCAAATATACAAAATAAATAATCTCGCATTGCCTTTCTAAAAATCAAATTACAAGCGTTTCCATGTACTGCATGAAAGACCATTCGAAATTAAATGAAGATCCTTGACTGTACTGTAAATACACTCATAAATACACTCTGTATCAAAAGTATGATTTGTTTTTAATTATTTCACCAAATCGTGTGTGCATGTATGTTCCAGTTTGCGCCTGCGATCCGACAATAATAGCTTTCATTTGTCGAAACGTTTAGTACAATTCCCTACTATTCACTTTTAAAATGTTAACACATTACCGACCGATAGCCTATTAATCGACTGTTTTACCGGCCAACACTTACCGACCGATAGCGTATTAATCAACTGTTTTACCGACCAACGCTTACCGACCGATAGCCGATTAATCAACCGCTAGCGGTCGGTAAAGTGTTAACACCATAATTACTATTATAATAATATCGTGGAAACAACAAAAACAGTCCAATTTCCATGATGGACGCAACAAGGAAATTATTGTCGTTTCATTGTCTTCGCAACAAAAGCACTTGTATCTTTCCAGTATATAAACATTTTTATCGATTGGATGCAAAAGTAATTGAACTCGGCACTCTAAAAAATGAAACGCTGAATTCAGAAGGATTACAGTTTCTTTCTCAGTAACGTATTAACAGTCGATCGTGCTTTACTTTCGAAATGTCACGTCATCCGAGATTTCCTCTGCGATTCTCTACGTCCAACTTAACGGCTGAAAGGAAGTCGAGAAATATTTCAATCAACCCAAACCGATTTTTCATGATAATCGATTACTGCAACGCGGTGGAGTTGAAACCGTTGGATGTGCTTCCTTCACTCTCATTATTTCCTTTACGCGATAATTACACCACTCTAAGAGCATTACATCGAATTATAGAGAATCCATTATTAAATATAAAATGCTTAAACCTATTAAAGTTGCAACTTTGATATCAAGCACTTTCACTAACTTTTAATGCGCTGGAACTATCGACAAAATTTCAGGTAACTTTATTTTAAAAATTAAAAGAGAACTAAAAGAACTAAATACTGTCTTTTAATTATATTAACACATTACCGACCGATATTAATCGACTGTTTTACCGGCCAACACTTACCGACCGATAGCGTATTAATCAACTTCTTTACCGACCAACGCTTACCGACCGATAGCCGATTAATCAACTGTTTTATCGGTCGGTAAAGTGTTAATACTGCAGTTAACAGATGCTGCAATAGATTTTGAAATGTCAATAGCAACCTATAAATTTCTATCTGCATTCAGCGTTTGTTGTTTTTTAGAAAAATTTCACCATTCTTTTTCTGAAGTTCGCAGAACCTGCACTCGAAAGTATCGAAAAATCTTGAAAATATTAATGTGTATTCCTGTATTAATTTTGACAATGAAGAAAACCTTTCGATTCGTGAGAAAGATTAGTAAAAAAGGTTAGATTCCTATTGCAATGGATGCGTGAACACATGATCGTCTATTTCTACGAATATCTACTGACAATATTAGACAGTTTGTTAAAATTCTGTTGTACAATTGCCATAAGAAAAGTTTTAATATACTCCGTAGAACATTATACTTGCTGTTTCTCTTTCAGAAATAATGTGTCGGCTTGCATCGCTTCCGCTGTCATCTCTTCTCTATTCTGCCATCAATTTCTATACCACGCTTAAATATCCTACATACTGTCGACCTTGAGCGCAATTTCAGAGTATAATCACGATTTAGAGTTTCTTTTATTTTATACTCAGGATTAGTGTACAGGGTGTCTCAGCCGATTTTGACATCTTGATTTCCTCGGTATTCTGGCACGTAGAGGAAAATGTTTCATAGGGAACTGAAATGGTATCGGGTGGGGCACATTCTTGTGTTATTTGTTTTTTCGTAGGCGGACCTGTCAAGGATCTATGAAGGTCAACTTTGTTTTTTTAAATGGAACGAGGTACTTTCTTATGCATCGAACGATGCAGCTAGACATTCTTTATAAAAAAGCACTGACCCATGCACGTCGAAAAGTAAGTAGATTAGGAGATATTTCAATTGAAATAATTCTAAAATTCGTACTGACATTAGCGTTTATTTACAAGTATGGTTCGATATAACGACCATTTGCATCACAGCATTTTTGAAATCGATGCAGTAATTAAAAATTTTAATGGGGGATTTTAGAGGCCAAAATAAGACGAAAGTCAAGAATATTAATTTGTTGATTGAGGCTTGGTTAAAAAGTTATTAAAAAATAAAATTAAGAAATTTCAAATCATTCACGGAAAAATTATTTTCGATTTCGGGGGTCAATTATTATAATTTTTGGTCAAAAGACATATCCTCGAATTCCTACAGACTTTCGAGAAAAAAATTCGAAAATTTGTGAAATTTCACATACTTTCGAATTTTTTTCTCGAAACTGTGCAAGATTTCGGGGATATGTCTATTCATAAAAAATTATTATAATTGACCCTCGCAACCGAAAATAATTTTTCCAATACGATTTGAAATTTTTTTTTTCGTCGAAAAATTTCACATTCTCGAATTTTTTTCTCGAAAATGCACAAGATTTCGGGGATATGTCTATTCATAAAAAATTATTATAATTGATCCCCGCAACCGAGAATAATTTTTTTAGAACGATTTGAAAAATTTTCTTTTCGTCGAAAAATTTCACATTCTCGAATTTTTTTCTCGAAAATGCACAAGATTTCGGGGATATGTCTATTCATAAAAAATTATTATAATTGATCCCCGCAACCGAGAATAATTTTTTTAGAACGATTTGAAAAATTTTCTTTTCGTCGAAAAATTTCACATTCTCGAATTTTTTTCTCGAAAATGCGCAAGATTTCGGGGATATGTCTGTTCATCAAAAATGATTGTAATTGACCCCCGCAACCAACCATAATTTTTCCAAAACGATTTGAAATTTTTTTTCCCCGTCGAAAAATTTCACATACTTTCGAATTTTTTTCTAGAAAGTGGGTAGGATTTCGAGGGTATGTGTAATGACCAAAAATGTTTGTAATTGATCCTCGCAACCGAGAATAATTTTTTTAGAACGATTTGAAAAATTTTCTTTTCGTCGAAAAATTTGTCCACTTTCTCAATTTTATTTCTCGAAAATGGATAGGATTTTGAGGGTATCTCTATTCACCAAAAATGTTTGTAATTGATCCTCGCAACGAGAAATAATTTTTTTAGAACGATTTGATAAATTTTTTTTCGCCAAAAAATTTCACCAGCTACCCCCTGTCGATTTTCCTTAAAAATTCATTTTTCATTTTTAATAAATTTGTTTGACGCCCTACACAAAAATTGTTTAATACTTTTTTGAAGGTACCTATGGGCTCTATTTCCATACTAAATTTCATTGAGATTCATTGACTATTGTAGGAGTTATGGCCGTTTGAACATTGGACCTGTTTTATGGGGGTTTTCCTCATTTTACAGGGTCAAGGATCAACTTTTCGAATATTTTTGTGATTCCTACCTATTCTCCACTAAAATACGCGTTGTTTGCCGTTTGAAACATTAAAATCCTCCAATCCGTTCAGGAGTTATGATGTTTTAAACATAAACCTGATATTTCAGTGAAACATATCAATGTATGGTCAGACATATTTTCAGTAACGATTTTTTTTCTCGAATATGCGTAGGATATCGGGGTTATGTCTACTGACCTAAAATGATTGTAATTGACCCTCGCAGCTAAAAATAATTTTTCCAAAACGATTTGAAATTTTTTTTTCTGTCGAAAAATTTCACATACTTTCGAATTTTTTTCTCGAAAGCCTGTAGGAATTCGAGGATATGTCCCTTGACCAAAAATGATTATAATTGACACCCGAAATCGAAAATAATTTTTCCGTGAATGATTTGAAATTTCTTAATTTAATTTTTTAATAACTTTTTAACCAAGCCTCAATCAACAAATTAATATTCTTGATTTTCGTCTTATTTTGGCCTCTAAAATCCCCCATTAAAATTTTTAATTACTGCATCGATTTAAAAAATGCTGTGATGCAAATGGTCGTTATATGGAACCATACTTGTAAATAAACGCTAATGTCAGTACGAATTTTAGAATTATTTGAATTGAAATATCTCCTAATCTACTTACTTCTCGACGTACATGGGTCAGTGCTTTTTTACAAAGAATGTCTAGCTGCATCGTTCGATGCATAAGAAAGTACCCCGTTCCATTTAAAAAAACAAAGTTGACCTTCATATATCCTTGACAGGTCCGTCTACGAAAACGCTAATAACACAAGAATGTGCCCCACTCGATACCATTTAAGTTCCCTATGAAACATTTTCCTCTACGTGCCAGAATACCGAGGAAATCAAGACGTCAAAATCGGCTGAGACATACCACTTTCAATTAAACGCGACAAAAACAGAGAATAGGATTCTTTAATATCCATCAGAGATTAGGTCACAGTAGAAACGTCACGCAATTTCTCCGAATGGGTTACACGCGTATTTCAAAATCGAAACTAAAAGAAAAGCATCGAAAACAAGAGTGTTGTTGCAACTCGACGAGCCCCCCAATTCAAAGCCCCCCAAAAAGAGAAGAGAAATATTTGACCACCTTTAGCCTCACACGCATCCCCGAAACAAGCTTCCCCCCGCGAATCGAAGCATCTCGAGGTAACCCAGGACCACGAAATTGATTAGCGACATCTACGACGAGTGAGCTCATAGCTCGTTTAGCTTCTTCACTCACGATTACAAAAGAGAAATTAAGTACATTGCCTCTATCGATCCACGATGTATGCGTGCGGTGTGTATGTGATGTTTGTTGCAAACTGTTCAACGGAACTCGAGTGAATCTAGCTCCGTTCTCGTTAAAGCGTAGCGAAGGTAGGGATTTCCATCGTGATCCGACTGTTCGCGCAAGTGTCCGGGTCGATCCGCGAATGAATAACGAGGGAATTTATTCTTAGGCGGCTGGCGGACGAGGACGACGAACTGTCGGAGGTACAGCCAGACGCTGTGCCACCGGAAGTACGCGAATGGCTCGCCTCGACCTTCACCAGGCAGCTCGCGACCACCAGACGGAAGGCGGACGAGAAGCCCAAGTTCCGCTCGGTGGCGCACGCCATTAGGGCGGGGATCTTCGTCGATCGGATCTACAGGCGGGTCACCAACACCGCGTTGATGCAGTTCCCCCAGGAAGTGGTCAAAGTACTCAAGGTAGTTCGCTCTGGTGTGCATCCGACAACCTGACTCGGGAGTTCTCTGATGCACCGATTGGGAGTTACGTTGATACGCGCATGATCGATCAACGGAGAATATAAAACACTGTCACAGCTAATTGCACCCCCACTTCCACGTTCTTCGAAAACAAAACTTGTGATATATTCTCTGGATTCTTAGCAACGACTTGGAAAATAGATTATTTAAATTACCACCCAATGATCACGCTTTACTCGATTCTCACGGAGCCGAAATTTCCGTATTGATTTAAGACCCTGGACGACTGGTCGTTCGATGTGTTCTCGTTAAGCGAAGCGGCGATGGGGACTCCGGTGAAGTACCTCGGTTACGATTTACTCAACCGATACGGCATGATACACAAATTCAAAGTGCCCCCCGCGGTGTTGGAGTGCTTTTTGGGGAGGGTCGAGGAGGGTTACTGCAGGCATCGGAACCCTTACCACAACAATCTGCATGCGGCAGACGTCGCGCAGACTATGCACTATATTCTCTGTCAAACAGGACTGATGGTAAGTTGAACAAATCAGATTACGCTCTTGCTACCCCCAAACTTCGCGTGGATTGCACGGAATGGTCGCCTGGAAACAGATCTTTGAAGATGTAAAAGATTGGAATCTTTTAAAACAATTTAAAGAATACTGTTGAATGTTTATTTGATAAATAAATGCAACAGAGTGTCGACTTAAGTATGTATTTAATTAACGTGTAGTTTTACGAAACGAAAATGCTGTTCTTAGCTTGCGAAGACCGTAGTATTTTCGAGAAGAGTTCATTGACCTCGCAACGTAAACAATGAAAAGTAAACAAACTTCGAAGCCTCATATCTCCGGAAGTAATTAGGCTATCGACTTGAACGAACACTCATTTTAAAGGACGTTTCATCCCCTATTCGATGAACATAGAAACTACTATTATTTATTCTATTTTCTATGTTTATTTTGACATTTACTTTGAAGCTATATTATACTATACTCAAAGAAGTTTCAGCAATTTGTATTGAAACTGGATTATAAATAGTTTATTTAATTGAAAATGAGTTTATTTTTGTCGTGGATAATTGTTTTGTCGACTTAAGTATGTATTTGATTAACGTAGATTTACAAAACGAAAATGCTGTTCTTAGCTTGTGAAGACCGTAGTATTTTCGAGAAGAGTTCATTGACCTCGCGACGTAAACAATGGAAAGTAAACAAACTTCGAAGCTTCATATCTCCGGAATTAATTAGGCTATCGACTTGAACGAACACTCATTTTAAAGGACGTTTCATCCCCTATTCGATGAACATAGAAACTACTATTATTTATTCTATTTTCTATGTTTATTTTGACATTTACTTTGATGCTATATTATACTATACTCAAAGAAGTTTCAGCAATTTGTATTGAAACTGGATTATAAATAGTTTATTTAATTGAAAATGAGTTTATTTTTGTCGTGGATAATTGTTTTGTCGACTTAAGTATGTATTTGATTAACGTAGATTTACAAAACGAAAATGCTGTTCTTAGCTTGTGAAGACCGTAGTATTTTCGAGAAGAGTTCATTGACCTCGCAACGTAAACAATGAAAAGTAAACAAACTTCGAAGCCTCATATCTCCGGAAGTAATTAGGCTATCGACTTGAACGAACACTCATTTTAAAGGACGTTTCATCCCCTATTCGATGAACATAGAAACTACTATTATTTATTCTATTTTCTATGTTTATTTTGACATTTACTTTGAAGCTATATTATACTATACTCAAAGAAGTTTCAGCAGTTTGTATTGAAACTGGATTATAAATAGTTTATTTAATTGAAAATGAGTTTATTTTTGTCGTGGATAATTGTTTTGTCGACTTAAGTATGTATTTGATTAACGTAGATTTACAAAACGAAAATGCTGTTCTTAGCTTGCGAAGACCGTAGTATTTTCGAGAAGAGTTCATTGACCTCGCGACGTAAACAATGGAAAGTAAACAAACTTCGAAGCTTCATATCTCCGGAAGTAATTAGGCTATCGACTTGAACGAACACTCATTTTAAAGGACGTTTCATCCCCTATTCGATGAACATAGAAACTACTATTATTTATTCTATTTTCTATGTTTATTTTGACATTTACTTTGAAGCTATATTATACTATACTCAAAGAAGTTTCAGCAATTTGTATTGAAACTGGATTATAAATAGTTTATTTAATTGAAAATGAGTTTATTTTTGTCGTAGATAATTGTTTTGTCGACTTAAGTATGTATTTGATTAACGTAGATTTACAAAACGAAAATGCTGTTCTTAGCTTGTGAAGACCGTAGTATTTTCGAGAAGAGTTCATTGACCTCGCGACGTAAACAATGGAAAGTAAACAAACTTCGAAGCTTCATATCTCCGGAATTAATTAGGCTATCGACTTGAACGAACACTCATTTTAAAGAACGTTTCATCCCCTATTCGATGAACATAGAAACTACTATTATTTATTCTATTTTCTATGTTTATTTTGACATTTACTTTGAAGCTATATTATACTATACTCAAAGAAGTTTCAGCAGTTTGTATTGAAACTGGATTATAAATAGTTTATTTAATTGAAAATGAATTTAAATTTGTATACAGGCATTTTGTCGTAGATAATTGTTTTCTCTGAGACTAATTATGGTATCGACTGGAAACAAAATTCGTTTTCAAGGATATTTTATCTTTTATCTGATGAAAATTTGAAAATTTTGACGTAGTTTTTAAATTTTCTGTGTTAAGTTAAAGTACTAAATATGCACATTTAGAGAGAATTATTGAACATTTTATTTTAGTGCTTTAAGAAGAAATATGCGACATAAAACAGAAAGATAACTTAACTAACAGGTCTGGGTTAGGTCTGCTAGGTTTAGGTAGCTTTAAATTATTGTTTCACATTAAGATAAATATTTAAAGAAATTTGTTGCTGTGAATATTTAAGTTAGGCCTGGGTTAGGTCTGGGTTAGGTCTGGATTAGATCTGGGTTAGGTCTGGATTAGATCTGGGTTAGGTCTGGGTTAGGTCTGGATTAGGTCTGGATTAGGCCTGAATTAGGTCTGGGTTAGGTCTGGATTAGGTCTGAATTAGGTTTGGGTTAGGTCTCGATTAGGCCTGACTTAGATCTGGGTTAGGTCTGGATTAGGCCTGAATTAGATCTGGGTTAGGTCTGGATTAGACCTGACTTAGATCTGGGTTAGGTCTGGATTAGGCCTGACTTAGATCTGGGTTAGGTCTGGATCAGACCTGAATTAGATCTGGGTTAGGTCTGGATTAGACCTGAATTAGGTCTGGGTTAGGTCTGGGTTAGGTCTTATTTCGTAAATACAAAAATTGACAAATAATAACTTCCATGTAAAGCAAAACAAAATTCAAACTACTATCTTTAGCTCTCTGTTGCATATCATGGTCTCGATAAAAACAATTTATTAAGCTTCAATGGGGAAACTTTTCTAAAATAGTATCGAGTAATCAACGAAACCATAAATAACCAACGACGAAAGAAAATTTATAAAAAAAATTCCACTAGAAAATAAACTCTATGAATAATTTACTACAACTAGAGATTAGTATATTACTCATAAAAAGCAAAGAGTAAGCATTTATTCACGAATAAAGTCTTACGAATAAAATCTTACTTTTCCTCATTTCTGGCCATTTCAATATCCTTGAAAACCGTTCAAACTCTGGCAATCCACGCTTAAAGAAGAAATATTTCATCCGATAGTGTTTCAGTAACGCTATTATAACACTTTGACTGCCACATCACCCATATATAGGTGACAGAATTTACCATTATGATTAGACTGCGGATGTTTATGCATTTATGGGAAATTTGAATTCTCAAAAAACTACAGAATGCACTTAACAAGAATAACGCAAGAATATAAGAAATACTTAAAGTAAGGTACTCATTATTCTATCTAGAGGTTGAGACAACCCTCTACAAAGCTCCAACTTCAATAATTTTATTAACAAAAATATGAATTTGCATGAAGATCCTTAGTCTAATTACGATACTAGAAAAATTCATTCTCAAGTCAAGACGTCGAGGAAAATAAATTCGAATAGAATTTGTGAATTTTAACAAAGCTACGAAAATAAGTACTGAAACAAATTTTAAGTTACGTAGCTTGCAACGATTTGAAATCAAAATTTTACTTGTGCAGAATATTACATTTTCGATCAGGCAGTGAAAAAACGAACACCGCGACCCGTAACCCGTAACTTTCGCGTTCAAAAGTTCGCCAGCAGTTGTACACTTCTTGTTGGAAACCTCTGGCGAACGGAAGCCAGAAATAAATCGTCGGTTCCGTCGATTACACGACCTTGGCCGCCCTTTGCTCGGGGGAAATTGCTCATTCGCCGCAAATTATACGAGGATAACGCCGAATGTTTGTCGTAGAATTGGCTGACCGACCTGGAGATTTTCGCCACTCTGGTGGCGGCCATTATTCACGATTACGAGCACACTGGGACCACAAACAATTTCCACGTAATGTCCGGCAGCGATACAGCTCTCCTCTACAACGATCGCGCTGTCCTGGAAAATCACCACATCTCCGCGAGCTTCCGGTACGTATGCACACAGGAACGATGACGTACGCTCAAACGAGTCGACAATTACCGGTAATTTTCGTTCCTATTTCGTCGCTGCTAATCAAAAATCACATGCAAATTTCCTTTGTCCTGCAAAAAATCGTAATTGGTAAATGGTTAGACAGTTTACAAGCAATTTGAGTTCACAAATACAGGATACGATTCACACACACGTGCAAATATTTTAGGGGGGGAGAGTCTCTCTTGTGAATTATAGAAAATTGTACCATTTTTCTTAATTTTTTTTAAGTAAATGTTACATCTGATTTTGTGATTCTTTTTTGCAATTTACTTGGCTATCCTTTGGAAATGCAAGAGAATTTTTTTATTAATTTTCTTAAATTTATACACTTTCAAAAAATTAAGTGAAAAGAAAATTGATATTTTTGAGGTCTACACACTACAATAAAAATGTTTTATATATCTTATAAAAATTCACATTAGTTAGCATTCCATTTGCAATAAAGAAGATTTGAAAGAAAGACATTGTACATTTTCAGACAACTTGGTGAAATTGATATGAAATTTACTCTTATAATTGTTGAGAATGACATAAATTATTCTAGATTATTAATCTATGAAGATGTTATTAGCAATGTGGCGCTGCATTGCTGGTGGTTAGGGTCTCCTGAGAATTGTGGGAGCGCTTGCGAGAGCGCGAGCCCTCTGGTGGCGAGCATAGGAGGCGACGCTACAGAATATTACTTACGTTTACAGAAACCTTATAATTAGGTGCTCTATAGTCTCACATTTAAGCATATAATTCTAAAATCAACTTACTACAGATTCTGACTACGATTTACTATCATACCATATGAAATATGAATGCAAAGTCTAAGCATGGCCTCGAAAATCAACATTGTGAAACTAAAATTGACATTTCATTCTCATTTTTCATCCGTAATTTGCATAAAATATCTCTGGAACTGCGTATTATTTCGATAAACATGGAATAACATATTTATGCAAAATTATGCACATATGTTAAAACAGACACAAGTATGTATTTCACTTGTATCGATTCGTGGGAGCGCTTGTGAGAGCGCGAGCCCTCTAGTGGCGAGCATAGGAGGCGACGCTACAGAATATTACTTACGTTTACAGAAACCTTATAATTAGGTGCTCTATAGTCTCACATTTAAGCATATAATTCTAAAATCAACTTACTACAGATTCTGACTACGATTTACTATCATACCGTATGAAATGTGAATGCAAAGTCTAAGCATGGCCTCGAAAATCAACATTGTGAAACTAAAATTGACATTTCATTCTCATTTTTCATCCGTAATTTGCATAAAATATCTCTGGAACTGCGTATTATTTCGATAAACATGGAATAACATATTTATGCAAAATTATGCACAGATGTTAAAACAGACACAAGTATGTATTTCACTTGTATCGATTCGTGGGAGCGCTTGTGAGAGCGCGAGCCCTCTAGTGGCGAGCAAAGGAGGCGACGCTACAGAATATTACTTACGTTTACAGAAACCTTATAATTAGGTACTCTATAGTCTCACATTTAAGCATATAATTCTAAAATCAACTTACTACAGATTCTGACTACGATTTACTATCATACCATATGAAATGTGAATGCAAAGTCTAAGCATGGCCTCGAAAATCAACATTGTGAAACTAAAATTGACATTTCATTCTCATTTTTCATCCGTAATTTGCATAAAATATCTTTGAAACTGGGTATTAACTTTTCGATAAACATGGAATAACATATTTATGCAAAATTATGCACATATGTTAAAACAGACACAAGTATGTATTTCACTTGTATCGATTCGTGGGAGCGCTTGTGAGAGCGCGAGCCCTCTAGTGGCGAGCAAAGGAGGCGACGCTACAGAATATTACTTACGTTTACAGAAACCTTATAATTAGGTACTCTATAGTCTCACATTTAAGCATATAATTCTAAAATCAACTTACTACAGATTCTGACTACGATTTACTATCATACCGTATGAAATGTGAATGCAAAGTCTAAGCATGGCCTCGAAAATCAACATTGTGAAACTAAAATTGACATTTCATTCTCATTTTTCATCCGTAATTTGCATAAAATATCTCTGGAACTGCGTATTATTTCGATAAACATGGAATAAGGATATTTATGCAAAAATATTTACATATGTTAAAATAGACACAAGTATGTATTTCACTTGTATCAATTCGTGGGAGCGCTTGTGAGAGCGCGAGCCCTCTAGTGGCGAGCAAAGGAGGCGACGCTACAGAATATTACTTACGTTTACAGAAACCTTATAATTAGGTGCTCTATAGTCTCACATTTAAGCATATAATTCTAAAATCAACTTACTACAGATTCTGACTACGATTTACTATCATACCGTATGAAATGTGAATGCAAAGTCTAATCATGGCCTCGAAAATCAACATTGTGAAACTAAAATTGACATTTCATTCTCATTTTTCATCCGTAATTTGCATAAAATATCTCTGGAACTGCGTATTATTTCGATAAACATGGAATAACATATTTATGCAAAATTATGCACAGATGTTAAAATACACACAAGTATGTATTTCACTTGCATCGATTCGCCAGGGAAAAATGTTACATCAGAGAAACGTAATTCCCATTGGAACTTTCAATTACTTCCCTATCTTCGAGAGGCGCTTCTAGTTTCCAGGAAATCTTTCTATTTCTCCGTTAAATAACACGGAACGGGGAGTTATTAAACGAGACAGATTGTCGAGATAAAGCTGCTTTCATATTACGCGCAAACGGAAGTTTTAATAATGCGTTTCGTTGCACCTTGGAGGAGAAAAAATTGTAGAAAGTTTTGCACTGCACAAAGGCGATACTGTATTTCGTAATAAATTCCATCAAAAGGAAATTATAGCATTGATTAAAACATCTGTCTCTTTGAGTTAAACGTAGCTCGATGAAAGTTTTCCTTCTTTTTGCTGGAACTTCGTCTTTTAATTATTTTAAGACGATATTACGAAAGTTTAAACATCCTTTTGTATCATTGTTACTGATAAATCAAAATTATTATTATTATATCTCGAATGAAGTTATTTTTAATATTTTTCAAGTTAAATTGTATTTAAAACGTTGTCTCTCTGGAACGAGTAATTATTTAAAATCAGACAAGTTTCACTAATGAATGGACGTCTGTTTCCAATATTTTTTGCACAACGTTCCGTGATCGAGTTTCCTTCGAATTAATAAAGAGAACAGGAGTTGATTCGACGAGTTAATTGGAGGTAACGCGGTTGGTATTTTTTCAGAATATTGAGGGAGGATGAGTGCAACATACTGCAAAATCTGTCGAGAGAGGAGTTCCGTGAGTTCCGCTCGCTGGTCATCGACATGGTTCTTGCAACTGACATGAGCTTTCATTTCCAACAACTGAAGAATATGAAGAACATTCTGAGCCTGGCGGAGCCCAGCGTCGACAAAAGCAAGGCCGTCAGCCTCGTCCTCCATTGCTGCGACATCTCTCATCCAGCCAAAAGATGGGATCTTCATCACAGGTAGATCACTCAAACTAATTAATTACAATGCACTTTAATGCAATTTAATGCACTGGCAAAATTTAAATAGCCACAACAACACGACAAGTTTTCTAAATCTAATTAAATGTCGAATACGTATTGATAGACTGAGGATGTTTATGAAACCTAAGTAGAAGTTTGTTTCATCGCTAGAGATCCTTAAAAATATATTTCTTATTTTGCATATTTTGTCAAAACATATTGCATATGTCATATATGTTATTGCATTTATTTTCGTAGAATTAATGCTTATATGGGCTTCCAAATATCTATTTCAATCTACTAAGTTTTCTAAATCTAATTAAATGTCAAATACTTATTAGTAAACTGAGGATGTTGATAGACACACCCCCGAAATCTTAACCAGTTTCGAGAAAAAAATTTTAGATGTGAAATTTTTCGACAAAATTAAAAAATTTCAAATCGATTTAACAAAATTATTTTTAGTTGCAGGGGTCCATTACAATCATTTTTAGTGAATAGACATACCCCCGAATTCCTACGCATATTCGAGAAAAAAATTCGTTACCGAAAATATGTCTGACCATATATTGATATGTTTCACTGAAATATCAGGTTTATGTTTGAAACATCATAACTCCTGAACGGATTGAAGGATTTTAATGTTTCAAACGGCAAACGACGCGTATTTTAGTGGAGAATAGGTAGGAAATGCAAAAATATTCGAAAAGTTGATCCTTGACCCTGCAAAATGAGGAAAACCCCCATAAAACACGTCCAATTTTCAAACAGCCATAACTCTTACAATAGTCAATGAATCTCAATGAAATTTAGTATGAAAGTAGAGCTCATAGGTACCTTCAAAAAAGTATTAAACAACATTTCCGTAGGACGTCAAACAAAATTACTAAAAATGAAAAACGAATTTTTAAGTGAAATCGACAGGGGGTAGCTGCTGAAATTTTTCAACGAAAAAAAAATGAATCAAATCGTTCTAAAAAAATTATTTCTACTTCCAAGGATCAATTACAAACAATTTTGGTGAGTAGACATACCCTCAAAATTTTATCCACTTTCGAGAAAAAAATTCAGAAAGTGGACAAATTTTTCGACGAAATTAAAAAATTTCAAATCATTGTAAAAAAAGAAATTTATAAAAAATCTCCTATCTGGTAACATTATTTACTGCACCCAATTTTTCTGTCAGACACTCGCGTTTGTTATAAATTGAAACGTAAAGTGAATAAACGGAAAAAGTATTATAATTAGCTCGCCCGATATGCAGATGGACAATGCAGCTTCTGGAAGAGTTCTTCCGTCAGGGGGACAAGGAAAGGGCCATGGGATTACCATTTTCCCCGTTGTGCGACCGTAACAATACCCTGGTGGCTGAGTCGCAAATAGGATTCATAGAGTTCATCGTAGAGCCCAGCATGCAAGTCTGCAGCGATATGTTGGAGACGGTTCTCACGCCGTTAAATACAAAGGAGAGCGTCGACGAATCCAACAACGGTGAGCCTATCTACGTCACGCTTTAATGCATTTCAACGCGAAACTGTGAACGGTGTTTAAGTAACGAGTAATCTGCAGGGTCGAGCGCGGAGGCCAGGAGGTTCAAGATTGGAAAGCCCTGGATCCCTTGTCTCGCGGAGAATAAGGGCATCTGGAAGGAACAAGCCGTTCGAGGTATTTATCAACGAATATTTTCACTTTCTTCCTTTCAATTTCAGTTGCTACGCTGAGTTTTCCTTCAGAATTTATTTTCTATTCGAAGGGTTCGCGGAAAAGTGTGGGGAACATCAAATTTTCGATTTCAGTTCCCTCGCTACACCGAGTTTTCCTTCAGAATTTATTTTCTATTCGAAGGGTTTATATAATATTTAAATAATAATTGACATGGTATCGAATGCTTGGATACACTTATGTGTATTTTCTTATTTTTTGTCAATACACTTATTCTCGAGATCCTACGCACTTTTGAAAAAAAAAATTCCTTACCAAAAATATAATGTGTGTTTCTTAAAATCTTAAAATGTTTCTCTAATAACTTCTGAATGGATTGAAGGATTTTAATGTTTCAAAATGCAAACAACGCGTATTTTGGCGAGGAATAGTTAGAAATACTAAGAATGTTCGAAAAAGTTGTTTTTTAACTCCATAAAGTGAGAAACCCCCAATTAAAATGGTCCAATATTCGAACGGCTACAACTTCTATAATAGTGAGTGTATTTCACTGAAATTTATTTGTGTAGTAGAGCTCGTGAATGCCTATAAAACAGTATTAAATATTTCCGTAGAATGTCAATCAAATTTATTAACAAACAAAAACAAATTTTCAATGAAAAATCGACAGGGGGTAGGTGCTTAAATTTTTCGGTGAAAAAATTATATTCAGTTGCCGAGGTCAATTACAATTATTTTTGCTTAATAGACACACCCTCGAAATCCTAACCAGTTTCGAGAAAAAAATTCAGAAAGTGGACAATTTTTTCGACGAAATTAAACAATTTCAAATCATTATAAAAAAATTATATTCAACTGCATGGGTCAATTATAATCATTTTTAGTGGATACACATACTCTCAAAATCCTATTCACTTTCGAGAAAAAAATTCAGTAATGACATAATTTTTCGACAAAATTAAGAAATTCCAAATCCTTCGAAAAAAATTATATTTAGTTACAGCGGTCAATTACAATTATTTTTGGTCAACAGATATACCCTCGAAATCTTAACCAGTTTCGAGAAAAAAATTCGAGAATGTGTGAAATTTTTCGACAAAATTAAGAAATTCTAAATCGTTCTAACAAAATTATTTTTAGTTGCAGGAGTTAATTACAATCATTTTTGGTCAATAGACACATCCCCGAAATTTTAACCAGTTACGAGAAAAAAATTCGACAAGATGTGAAATTTTTCGACAAAATTAAAAAATTTCAAATCCTTCTAAAAAAATTATATTTAGTTACAGGGGTCAATTTCAATTATTTTTGGTCAATAGACACACCCCCGAAATCTTAACCAGTTTCGAGAAAAAAAATCGTTACTGAAAATATGTCTGACCATATATTGATATGTTTCACTGAAATATCAGGCGTATGTTTAAAATATCATAACTCCTGAACGGATTGGAGGATTTTGATGTTTCAAACGGCAAACGACGTGTATTTTAGTGGAGAATAGGTAGGAATTGCAAAAATATTCGAAAAGTTGTTCTCTGACCCTGTAAAATGAGAAAACCCCCATACAAATGGTTCAATTTTCAAACTGCCATAACTCCTACAATAGTCAATGAATCTCAATGAAATTTGGTATGGAAGTAAAGCTCATAGGTACCTTCAAAAAAGTCTTAAACAACATTTCCGTAGGACGTCAAACAAATTTATTAAAAATGAAAAACAAATTTTTAAGGAAAATCGACAGGGGGTAGCTGCTGAAATTTTTCGCCGAAAAAAAATTTATCAAATCGTTCTAAAAAAATTATTTCTCATTGCGAGGATCAATTACAAACATTTTGGTGAACAGACATACCCTCAAAATCCTATCCACTTTCGAGAAAAAAATTCAGTAAGTGTACAAATTTTTCGACGAAAAGAAAATTGTTCAAATCGTTCTAAAAAAATTATTTCTCGTTGCGAGGATCAATTACAAACATTTTTAGTCATTACACATACCCTCGAAATCCTACCCACTTTCGAGAAAAAAATTCTCTGTTACAAGAAATCCCCAAAATTTCATACGTAGATATAAAAAATTAAAAAAAAAAACAATAAAATTTCTGTAATTTCATTCTTTGTCCCTGTAACCTGTTGGTAATATTACTAGTGATATAAAAATGGTAATAAAAGATACATTGGGATGCAAGGTCTACTCCTATACTAAGCATGTGCTTAGCTCGTTTATTGATTACTTATGGAATGCATAGAAAATTCTAATGCATCGAGGAGAAATATCAATGTGAGGACTCTTTCTCTTCGTCAACATACATCGAATGTAAGGTCTACCCGTAAACTAAGCATTTGCTTGGTTCGTTTATCGATTATTTATAGAAAACATACAAAATTCTACTAGAATTGGCTTCCGGGTTGGAGCCGCGTTCAGAAGACGAGAGAGTCCAACTGAACGCGGCTCCAACCCGGAAGCCAATTCTAGTACTAATCACTATGGCCGCGAAAGCCTAAAAAGTATTATACAAAATTCTATTGCATCGAGGAGAAATATCAATGTGAGGACTCTTTCTCTTCGTCAACATACATCGAATGTAAGGTCTACCCGTAAACTAAGCATTTGCTTGGTTCGTTTATCGATTATTTATAGAAAACATACAAAATTCTACTAGAATTGGCTTCCGGGTTGGAGCCGCGTTCAGAAGACGAGAGAGTCCAACTGAACGCGGCTCCAACCCGGAAGCCAATTCTAGTAGTAATCACTATGGCCGCGAAAGCCTAAAAAGTATTATACAAAATTCTAATGCATCGAGGAGAAATATCAATGTGAGGACTCTTTCTCTTCGTCAACATACATCGAATGTAAGGTCTACCCGTAAACTAAGCATTTGCTTGGTTCGTTTATCGATTATTTATAGAAAACATACAAAATTCTACTAGAATTGGCTTCCGGGTTGGAGCCGCGTTCAGAAGACGAGAGAGTCCAACTGAACGCGGCTCCAACCTGGAAGCCAATTCTAGTACTAATCACTATGGCCGCGAAAGCCTAAAAAGTATTATACAAAATTCTATTGCATCGAGGAGAAATATCAATGTGAGGACTCTTTCTCTTCGTCAACATACATCGAATGTAAGGTCTACCCGTAAACTAAGCATTTGCTTGGTTCGTTTATCGATTATTTATAGAAAACATACAAAATTCTACTAGAATTGGCTTCCGGGTTGGAGCCGCGTTCAGAAGACGAGAGAGTCCAACTGAACGCGGCTCCAACCCGGAAGCCAATTCTAGTACTAATCACTATGGCCGCGAAAGCCTAAAAAGTATTATACAAAATTCTATTGCATCGAGGAGAAATATCAATGTGAGGACTCTTTCTCTTCGTCAACATACATCGAATGTAAGGTCTACCCGTAAACTAAGCATGTGCTTGGTTCGTTTATCGATTATTTATAGAAAACAAACAAAATTCTATTGCATCTAGGAGAAATATCAATGTGAGGACTCTTTCTCTTCATCAACAGATGCGGAAGCGAGAGCACAAAAGGAACAGGAGCAGAAGGCGAGCGACAGCCGCGAGGATAGCGACACGGTGCAACAAGCTGCACCCGAGGAATGAAAAATCCGGAGAGCCGTCTTGTTTTTCAAGAACATATGTAAGTTTAGGCTACGAGGAGGCTCGTGAACGCGTTGGATGTCACGCGCCGCGAAAATGGCCGCTCGAGCGAACGTCAGTGGTCAGGCTTATCATTAAGAATACCTCCGCAACTTATTTATACTGTTTACCACGACTTTGTTCCATCGTCTGACGTTCCATTGATCTCGTTATTACGACTGCTCCCGCCTTTGTGTCACTTGATCCTTCGAATCGATGTCGCGTGTCCAGAAACCGACAGGAAACGTTTATTTTCGACATTTCCAATTATCCGGCGGTCGTACAACGTTTACCAATTGTACATACAGGCTTTACAGAACTTTCTTATGCTCCGTTCCTACAGGTATCGCGTTCATTTCCAACGAGCTACTAAATGGACGCCTTAATTGCGATGAGAAAGCGCGCGCGGTTTAAAAATTGACCAACGAACGAATGAATTAATTTAAACATTTGGAAATATACACTCTACGAATTTTCATAACTTTCGTGTTCGAAACCCACTAACCTCACCCATGTATTTCGAATTTGCAAAAATGCAATTTTTAATTAAATTTTCCCAACAATTTAGTGAATTACATAATTTTCAATGCACTTGTTAGTAAACCATTGAAATTTGTAATTAATTTTGAGTTAATTCAATTTTGCTTGACTAATGATCCTTGAAAATTTAATTTTTAGTGAAATTTTAGATCAAAATGATATTTGGCTTTGGACACTGATTTAACAATTCCCAAAAATGGCTTCTGGATCGAATAGTTAGTAAAAGAGTCGTTTCAAATATTTACAATTTCCAATTTAATATAATAACAGCCATGTATTTCGAATTAATTATTTCCTGCGAAGAATGAAGCAACAGTAAAGAAAAATGCAATTTTCGATTAAATTTTCCCAACAATTTAGTGAATTACATAATTTTCAATGCACTTGTTAGTAAACCATTGAAATTTGTAATTAATTTTGAGTTAGTTCAATTTTGATTCACTAATGATCCTTGAAAATTTAATTTTTAGTGAAATTTTAGATCAAAATGATATTTGGCTTTGGACACTGATTTGACAATTCCCAAAAATGGCTTCAGGATCGAATAGATAGTAAAAGAGTCGTTTCAAATATTTACAATTTACACTTTAATATAATAACAGCCTTTCAAGGGCTGTGAACCATAATTGCATAAATTTTTACTATTTTTTTTTATTTTCTTATTGAAGTCAGTGCTTAATATTAATTACATAGAATTTTTACTCTCATTTTATCATTAAATTTACAATGTACACTGTTGAAAAGAATTAAAATATATTTAACCCAGAAAATAAAATATTTAAATCGACTAAATATAGAAAAACCATATCAGGAATAAAAAAGTACTGAATTATGTACAATCCAAAGAATATTTATACCTATTACTGATTTTAACAACATTGTTTGATAATTTAATTTAATAAAATATTTAATTTAATTCTTTTCAACAAAGTAAAAGACTTTTCATTTTACCATTACTGACTTTAACAACATTGTTTGATAATTTAATTTAATAAAATATTTAATTTAATTTAATAAAATATTTAATTTAATTTAATAAAATGTTTAACTTAATTTAATTCTTTCCAACAAGACTTTTAATTTTCTACAAAATTAAACTAATTTTATCACTATTTTTGACTCATCAAAAAATATACCAAATTACAATTGTAAAAGTGGAGAAACAATAAGTCAACAATAAAATTCTGTATTTAGAGTACCAAATGTAGTTAATTTAATGAAGATGATAATCGTGATTAAGGCGTTCGTTTCTTGGCTGATTTAGCTCGATCGATTAGCAACTTTGCGTTAACGTTACTATGAAAACGTAGAAATAGTTCGTCTCCCAACGTAAACGTAGCCTAAATCACCTAAACGTTACCTAAGCTGCGTTAGGCAGCGAGAATCGAGCACACAGAAGCGAAAGAAAGTCGTAAACGTACTTAGAGCACAATTGTTCGTTCGCAATGAAGTGGTAACGAGTGAAAGGACACTATGTCGATGTCGACGAGATTTCCATAGGGTTCCCTAACCCGGAACGTCTTTATCCGTACCTGTTTTTTCTTACAATTAGTGTATAATTACGAGCATACGTTTTTTCATAGGAACGAAGACTTTCATCTTGAAAAGAATACGCACTTAATTCAATCCGAACTGAGAACATTCACACAGACTGGGCGATTATTATTAAACTTACTATACACATGGATCACGATAACCTTCTGTTTTCCAAATTTGGTAAAAATAGCAAACGTTATCCTACACGTGATCGTGTGTCTCTATGCTCGAACTGAACATTCACACTGGGCGATTATTATTGAACTTACTATGTACATGATCACGGTAACCTGTTTTCCAAATTTGGTAAAAATAACAAACGTTATCCTACAGGTGATCGTGTGTTTCCACGCAGACTTTTTCTGTGCTCTTTCTCGTAAGGTTAACGCGAGTGTTGAAGCTTTCAGAATTAATTACACGCGCTTGACTAACGCACGAGTGTTGAATTCGATTTCAACAATGAAAGTACCAGCTTTCTGGTAACAGTATCATAGTGTTGAAGTTGAAAGTCTTCGCGCAACGCCAAGCCCCATCATACTAACGCGTCAGACTTCCGCGAAGACAGAAGCTTACACTCGCTTCTTCGATAATTCGACCGGTTGGCAAGGCGAACGACCAAAAAATCGCTTCTTTCACTAGGTCCGATTTCTCCGACTCGATTCACCCGACAAATGTCCCAAATTTCAGTGAAATTCACCAAACGATATTCTCTAGCCAGCCTTTTGACTGCGTCCTAGGGAGAATCCATCGACATAGATGGCGCTGCCACTGGTGACCAAAATGGAGACCATTCTTACGGGTTAAAAAAATAAACTAAAGTATCTAATTCCATGTAGAATCAATGGGTGAAACAGTAAATGGTGTTATAGTAAAATAAAAATTGCAGAGGGCGTAAATTTACGCTTTTCGTATACATGTACGTCTTCAGCAGTCAAAGGGCTAGTCTATAATACGAGAACATAATCGTGAGTAGTAAACACTATCGAAAATGAAAGTAACGTGACCGAGAATCGGAGGAAAGTATAAAAAAATAAGATTTCTAGAACCTCAAACGGAATATTTACGGAATTTTCGATTGCAAATGTTCCAAATTTCAGTGAAATTCACCAAACGATATTCTCTAGCCAGCCTTTTGACTGCGTCCTAGGGAGAATCCATCGACATAGATGGCGCTGCCACTGGTGACCAAAATGGAGACCATTCTTACGGGTTAAAAAAATAAATTAAAGTATCGAATTCCATGTAGAATCAATGGGTGAAACAGTAAATGGTGTTATAGTAAAATAAAAATTGCAGAGGGCGTAAATTTACGCTTTTCGTATACATGTACGTCTTCAGCAGTCAAAGGGCTAGTCTATAATACGAGAACATAATCGTGAGTAGTAAACACTATTGAAAATGAAAGTAACGTGACCGAGAATCGGAGGAAAGTATAAAAAAATAAGATTTCTAGAATCTCAAACGGAATATTTACGGAATTTTCGATTGCAAATGTCCCAAATTTTAGTGAAATTCACCAAACGATATTCTCTAGCCAGCCTTTTGACTGCGTCCAAGGGAGAATCCATCGACATAGATGGCGCTGCGACTGGTGACCAAAATGGAGACCATTCTTACGGGTTAAAAAAATAAACTAAAGTATCTAATTCCATGTAGAATCAATTGGTAAAATAGTAAATGGTGTTATAGTAAAAGAAAAATTGCAGAAGGCGTAAATTTACGCTTTTCGTATACATGTACGTCTTCAGCAGTCAAAGGGCTAGTCTATAATACGAGAACATAATCGTGAGTAGTAAACACTATTGAAAATGAAAGTAACGTGACCGAGAATCGGAGGAAAGTATAAAAAAATAAGATTTCTAGAACCTCAAACGGAATATTTACGGAATTTTCAATTGCAAATTCGAACTCCTGAAGCCTGTCTTCTTTCGCTATTTCTGCGAATAAAGTTTATTCTATTTAATTTGAAATAGACAAAGTCGAACTTTATTGAGTATTCTTGTTCAGTCTACAGTTAGAAAGAGAATGGTTCAAACGTGAATCGTAAGGAACCAAGCATACTTAATAAAAGATGACAATTAAAAGGTGAAATCGAGGTGATGGAACGAATGAACGTCGAATCGCGGAAAAATCGGACCAATGTAGCCGCGTGGGATCTCTGGTAACGCCATTGTACATAGTTACGTTAGATGTGTATTCGTATACACGTAAAGGTGCAGCTTTAATGTATGTAAATGTAATGTAAAAGAGATATCACTAACGTTTACTCGACGTACGCTACGTTTACACGTATATGAACAAAAATGGTGGATCGATGTGTCATTGGACTTCTGAAACGAAAGACGTCGCCTAGGATCAACCAGCGAGATCACGCGTGTATCAAATTTAATCGAACATATCCGTGGAATCGCGTCCGTTTCACGTTACGTGATCGTCGATCGACAAAATGGCGACGAACAATGAATCCACGCGACGTCTTTTCGTGCTCGACTTTGGACCGATGGCGTGCGAATCCTTTGAAGTCGAGGCTGCGGATGCAAATACTCCCGTCAAGAATTAAATGTCGAAGCCTTCGATACGCACGTTATCACGAAAGAGGTATTTTATCGTCATAGAGAGTGTATAGGATAATGTCTCTAGCTCTGGGGTTAAACATATCCGTCCTGTATTTATTTCATTTCTGTCCTTCGGATTCGATTCATACGTATCGATTTATTGAAGCGCGAAATGGTGATCCCTGGTAACGATGATGATTCAAAAAAACTGTATGTCAGACTTTTTTGAAGCAATGACAACGGGTTTTTATTAGTTATGTTACTGGGAATTAGAAATTTTTTAAATTCGAGTTAATCGATCATCTATTCAGAGTAATGTTAGTAAATTAGCTTGATGAGCTTGTGAATTATGCATTGCACGAAGAATTGATATGTACAGAAGTTGCATAATTTTTGGAGGATGATTAGAAGGCGTATGTACCTATTTCTAAACAGAGACACTTGGAAAATCGATTCTTTTAATTAAAATTCTCCATTTTTTATTATATATGTATATTCTGAAGGTATTACGCGAAGAATTGATATGTACAGAAGTTGCATAATTTTTTGAGGATGATTAGAAGGCATATGTACCTATTTCTAAACAGAGACACTTGGAAAATCGATTCTTTTAATTAAAATTCTCTATTTTTTATTATATATACATATTCTGAAGGTAATTTTCGGAGCAAACAATTTTAGTTTGCAAAATAAAACTAGAAGCCACGTTGAACTAACAAAAATCAGTAATTGTCACAATATGGTTCTGATATTGCAATAAAAATAGAAACTAATCGCTTTATAGTATTCTACGTGTAACCATTTGTTGTTTAAAACTGAATGAAACTTAACACTTTACCGACCGATAGCCTATTAATCGACTGTTTTACCGGCCAACGCTTACCGACCGATAGCCTATTAATCAACTGTTTTATCGGCCGACGTTTACCGACCGATAAAACAGTTAAATAGGAATAACTTCAAATTTATGAATATAGAAACATTGAAATTCGAGAAGCTTTCGAAACTTATTGAATCTACTTTTTTATCATTGCTTTGCACGAAATAGTCGTATTTTGAAAATGAAAGCAACAGGACTCGTGTTTTCTAAGCTTTCTCAATTTTATACGAAAGAATTACACATGAATTTGTTTTATTTTTGGATTGAAATTATTTTAACTCCGTTCGAATGTTTATTTTATTGAACTTGAAATCAAGTTAACTTCATTGATTTATAACATCGTAAATAAAAGTGACTGGCTGCGAATGTGTTGAAAAATATGTCATGACACAGGTGTGAAAGTTGAATTTTACAAAATGTTATGAAAAAGAACGAGTTAAGATAGAAACTTATGATTCAAAATCAATGAACCAAAGAAAATGCATACACATACATACATGCCTAATCTATCCTCAAAATTACACAGCTTTCGTGTACAATAATTCTTTATACAACGATTAATTCACAAGCAATTGAGTGAATGTTAAATTACTCACTCTGTATAATATTCTCAAACACGAAACAAATAAAACTAATTCTAAAATAAGAGGGATTTAGGGGACACTTTCAATTTCAGTATTAATTAATAAAAGTGTGCATAACTGAGATATAATTTCGAAATAAAATTCACAGAAT